AGAAGAGCACTATTTTCCAGCTCCTCCAGAATGCAAAAGCAGAGTTTTTGTTTTCAAAAGTTTAAAATAAAATATTCCAAGAGCTTCAGTACTTTTATCAAAACATGGAATTTGAAATTATTCAAAGCAGGGCTCTATGTATTCTGTTTGAAAAGCAGAGATTTTGTTTAGTCAGTAATTTAAATGAGGAGAAAATTGTTTAGTCAACAGTTTTCATGGTGGCTATGAAATTTCTGATATTCCAAAGGCTCACTTGGAAGGGGTCCAGAAGAACTCTAACTTGCAATTTGGCATATTCAGTAAAGGTCATGGAGACTGTGTTTTGTGTAACAGTGGTGTGAAGTCAATTAATATATTTTTGCATCTCAGGTGCATCAGACACATGGTCTAGAAGGTCATGAAATTGTGTCCAGGAAAATATCGACAGGGTGCGTAGACTTTCCCCCCCATATGGCTGAACCTAACACTGTGGTGGTTTCTTCTAAATAGAGACCTTACTGCTGTGCTTTCTGTCTGCGATACTCCAGTGACACTGGATTGCTGTCCTCCCATGGTATGCCAGTTAATGACCTAGCATCTTTTGGATGTTAGAGGTGACTTCAGTTCACTGCAATATCCTTGGTGAAAAATTTTGTTTTACTGTAATCCAAGTGCCTCAATTCCTCTGGATTTCCAGACACCACTGAAATATTGGTTGCTTTTTTCCTATTTGTCCTACTGCCTCTGAAGTTGCTGAGAGGAAAATTGTGTCAGTGATGGTCTCTTCTGACAATCCTGCTCTAGGTAACCTGTGATATCTACAAGGTCTTTATCGTATGTCTTCACATAGTTTTTATACGGTTCTGGAAGATTGGTTTTCCTCACACCTAAAGCTTCTTACAAACAAACTGAAGATAATTTGCCTACACAGCTGAAGAATGCAATTTTTCTGGGAAATGTCTAGTATGTACCTATAAAGTGTTGAGTGGTTTTTCATGATGGTTAATTTTATTTGTGCTGCCATCTTTAACAATGTGAAAACACATCTGAAGTAGCAGATCCATCCTATCCATCTTCTATTTTGCATCTTACCATTGGTAGCTTTAATACAACTTTACAAATTTGCTGAATGCTAAATGAGATCAGGCTAGGATGAAAATAAAACTGAAAGACAGCACTGAGAATGCTTTTTGATCAATTTAAATATCTAGAGAAATAGTTCTGGATATCAGAGAAGCAATCTCTGGATCAGCTAATTGCATTAGATTTTTAAATGGTTCTATGTACATTCAAACTGGCAAAGGCTCTTAAAAATCATTATTTATGCCCTTCTATAAATTCTTAGAAATGCATTGCAAAATAGTCATGTCAAGTAGTAGAGCAACATAGTTAAGATCAAAGTCTCTGCAGATTTCTCTGAGAACAGAACATGTCCCTTTAATTTTGCAACTTTCTTTATGTGCAGTGGGCTTGTTCCTAGAAGTGCTGTCACTTCATGTATGGACCAAGCAAGCACTTAAAATAAATACTAAAATATATCTATCCCAAATCATTAAGACAAGGTTTAAAGAGTCTTAAAAATGCACCATTTTGTAAAGACAGCTAAGAGGATTTTCAGTGAGTATTAAAAATGTTGCACAAACCCAAGACTCAAACAATCATCCCCATTCTTTGCCCCACTTGTAAATGTAATTGATTCTTTTTAGTAGGCCTGTGGACTCTTCAGCTGATGTCCTGGCCCACTAGTCATAATGGAAATTATTTTCCAAAATATTTTTAAGAAACAGAAGAAAATACAAAAGAAATGAAAAAAAACTCCCACCATTTAAAATTAAATGAAATTTAATAAAATTTAAAATTTCATTAATTTTCACATAATGAAAGGAAAGATTAGAGTTATGAACAACATGGGGAAATAGAGCATAAAAGACCTGAGTATTTATAAATGGGTTTCTGAGGTAAGAATGTAAGAGTACAGTACTTAAGACTCTCACTCAGTGGATGTAAGTTAGATACCTGTCCTTAAAACTCAGCCAAAACCAAGACAATACCGTTGCCTCACCTAACTCCTAGGATTTTGCAGGGGATGAGCAGCTGGTTGTGGGTTTCAAGCTGGTTTCTTCATTTATGACCAAAGGCCTGAGTCCTGCCCTCAGGTCATGTATATAATGATCATCTATTAAAACATGCAAGGATAGCCCTAGGCACCGGTCTGCAAGACCATTTTTATAGACAAAATACTAGAGTTCCTATGTATGACATCTTCATGCATTCACAAGCACTCCAGGAAAATAACTTTCAGTGAGGTAAGATTTAGAGTACACAAATGCTATTTCAATCTTTGCTTTCCTGACTTCTCTAAGAAGTCACAGAACTGTAGAACCATAGAATATCCTGAAGGGACCTATAAGGATCATCAAAATTCAGGTCCTGAATAGGATATCCCAAGAATCACACCATGAGTCTGCGAGTGTTGCCCAAACACTTCTTGAACCTTGCCAGGTTTCATCCTGTGACTGCTTCCCTGGTGACCCCATTCCAGGGCCCAACCATCTGCTGAGTGAAGTGGGATGTGAAACCTTGCTGTGCTTTATATATGCAATATCATTCCATAACTGTCAGCCACAGTGATTATTGTACCCTACTTAAAAGAAAAATACTGTCTTTAAAAAGACATATCAGTATAATACTGCCATTGGACAGTAGAACCTATTCACTGACTCTGGGTTTAATTTTTTTTTCAGGAACTTCGTCACATCCACATATGGTTCTTAGTGCAGCATTCTACATTTGGATTTTCAATTTAGCTGAAGGATCTATAAAAGCTTGTGTTGCTCCAAAACTCCCAGTTGACCACAGAGAAAAGGCAGCCCAGGAGTATCAATTATACTTGTCAACTGTAATTTACACTTTCTAAAGGACCTGGCAGATCTCTTCTTTCCAGATGCTATAATAGGAATAACGTATGCAGTAAGCTGAAAAATTAATCTTAATAATATTGTTCTTCAGTAATATTTTTCATTCTGATGGAATGCCAAAAAGATTTAGATGTTACACGGTAAAATCTGTTTGAATATCATTTGTAGAGTGCCTCAAACAGAGCCAGGGAGAGAGAAAAAAAGGTGGTCAAATAGCTGGAACTCTGAAAAGCTGAAATAATTCTGAAAATTGCCATTGTTTTTATCATCCTCTCATTCATCTTGTATGTTTTTCTATCTCAATCTGTTGTTTGTTCTTAGTTCAGTTTGCAAGCCATTGCGGGTAAGAACAGCGACAGTGCTCTATGCTTGAACACACGTTTTATGTTCCTCATGCATATAGAGACTAAGGTTAAATAACAAAGCAGTTTAGCATGCAGCCTGGCAGGCTACCCTCTCCAGCAAGAGGATATGCTCTTGTACCACTCCAGCTGACATGGCTTCAGCATTGTTTTACAAAGACATGGCTTAAAGTATCCTGAATTTCTCTTGAAATTTTCTTGCCCATGTCCTGATCAGACATGTTCTGGACAAGCCTATGAGAAGTAAAGGAACTTTAACCACAGGGTATGTAGCTGGGAGCAGATTTTGCTAATGACTCCTGCAGATTTATTACTAACAAGGCAGATGTATCGGCAAGACTGAGTGATTCCTTGGTCATGGAATTTAACTCTTGTTACTAACATATTCTGGAATGCCAACTTTTAATTTGTAAATATTATGTTCCTAGCCCCCATGGTGGGGTCTAGAAAACCAGTTTCAAATCTGTGGTGTTTTCAATTTTGTTAACAAGCATATTATTTTATAAAATATAATAATAATAAAAGTAATATTTTCTGCCTACCTTACTCTCAGTCATCTCTCCAGGTTGCAGCTTCCTATCTCCTTTTTCCCACAAGAGGGAGTGAAATTTTATTACATAGCTGGTGTTTCCAGCACTGCTGGTCCAAGAGTAGGACAATGGTAGGGAAGAATGCTGACAAGTGACTATGGAAATACTTGAGGTAAATGGCATATGAGAAAACAGCTGCAGGAAAATTCAAATAATTATATTCTTAAAAATTAAGAGAACTAGTGAGTGAAGAGGAGGTCAAAGACAAGTTCAGAGATGGTTTTCTTTAGCAGTATTTTAGGTCCTAAAACTTTCCTACAGTCCAAGAAATCCAAAAGAATCCCCCTTAAAAAAAACACAACCGTGTAAATAATCAAGTATTTTGCATGCATTCAAGTCCAAGCCATCACTTTGTACATACTTAAAATGGAAATTAAGAATGGAATTGTAAGCAGATAAGGTGCTGATGGATTAACCTTTTCATGGTATTGAGGCACACTTGCCATTGCATATGCAGTGTGCTATGGTGGTCATGAGTATCATGATGTACCCATGCTATAAAGTTTTAGCTCTTCACATGGGGAAAAACAGCTCTGGATTAAAGGAATTAGAAATACTGTACCTTTCCCCACTCTTAGACAGCCCAATTTTAATTAATTATTGCAGCTGCGGTGTTTGGCACCAATACATACTCGTAGGCTCGTTGAAGTCAATAAAACTCTTCAAGGCCAAAGAGCACCTCACAACAAATCTTTTTCCAGGACTGGGGCATGGAATTGTTTTGAAGCACAGCAGCTGTGTGAACATTATAATTAGAGCATGTCCTCATTCTGCGGTCAAATTCAAACAAATATATATCCTCCTCTTGACTGGGCCTGTTCCTACAGGCAAGTGCACCAACTTCAAATCATTTGTCAATTATGGCAAGATGCACACTTGCAACTTGGTCTCGTTTTAGACACCTCACTAAGGTTACAATTCAGATTCATGAAATGTAGAGACCTAAGTGACCTGTAGTTAATGGACAGAGACAATTGTCTTCTTCAGGTGATTCAAAGCAGCTGCTCAGAACTTCTTAAATGCAATGCTATGCTAAAACTGGGCTGATTGGATGCACCCTCTTCAAGGCCATCTAACCTCAAACAAGAAAAAGACTGAGGAAAACAGCTTGAGATGGTGGGCAGGGGAGACTGCTCTCTGAGAATTATGATGATTCATGGTGAACAGTTAAAATTAAGTTACTAAGAAAATAACAGTGAAATTTGATTTGGAAAAAAAATCGTGTTGACACAGAATAAAAAAAAAATTATCAAAAATATTAGAAAAAAGGCAATGTTTAAGTTCATAAGTTTGTTTTTAAGGTTTTCAGGGAAAAAGAATTACACATAAGATTTTCCAGTAAGCAGAAGGAGAAATGGAAACAAAGAATCATGAACAACAATCATGGAACTAAAGAAAGAAAAGATGTAAATCTAATTTTCAAACAAATTTAAGGAATGCTGAATGCAACTGAAAGATAGTGACCCTTCTTACCTGAGTACCATGTGGAAACAGAGGACCTATTGCCGAGCAATCTTACTGAAGACATTCATGTACATCCATGCTTCAAGCATGAATAAATTCAGATCAGGGTTTGTCAGGAGCATGAAGCACTAGGAGGCTGATTAGAGATCTTTAGAGCACTGAGTGTCCTGATTTCAAGAGATGGATGGAGACTGGAGTTTGCAGAGCCTGGCTGGTAGCTATGCCTCTGTTAGAGCTTCCACAACCACTCCAGCAGAAAGAGGTACCTGGACTGAGCTCAGCATCCTGAAGTGTCAGCACTGGGTTTTTCCTAGTACTGTTTCTTTCCTTATCCCCTGTGACTAGACCAGCAGCTGGAATGCATGGAACAAATGCAGCTATCCACCTGATCTCCTGCTACTCTCTTCTCTTCCCCATAGCAGTCACCCGTGTCAACAGGTACATAGGGGAATAAATTTCTTGGTGACAGCTGATGTTGGTGCTGTGAAAGGAGAATTTTTGTTTCTTTGGAAGAGAATCTGTAGTGGGGATTGAGATGGGGAGGGAATGGAAGACTGTGTTCCAGATATTGCAGCTGCTAAGGCTGGCTGATCTTAATCTAAGCAACCATATACTGAACATAAACATTTTCAGTTTCAGAGTTCCTTTTTCTAGGTGTCTTGACACCAATTGGGAGTGGCAGCTTCTTGGTCCTTCTCTGTCATCCAATTTTGCAAGACAGTCTATTCTACCAGAAAGTTTGTGGTATGAATTCTATATCCCCATAGTCCAGGGAAGAAAATGGAGAGAACAGGTGTCTCCCCTTTAGCATCTTTCTTTCTAAAAGTCCATTCACTGACAAACTGGAATTAACAGAAATATTCCATCTGGTTCTTGCTAATCTGAGGTACCTGCTCTAGAGAGGTGCAGATATTCAAAGTCATCTCCGTCTTTTGCACATAAGCCCAAGTCATGTCCTGTGGTCCACAGGCCTTCCCCATCATCCTTTGAAAAAGCTGAAATTGTGCAGTGGATAGAGAATGTATATATCAAAAATAAGTGCTCTGTATCTCCTTGCCAAGATGCCTGCAGCTGCCTATTGAGACACCTAAGCTGATGTCCCAGGCTAAAGGGGATCATTTCCATTCTTAACATTGGCATGCAATTTTTATTTTAAGAAATTGCAGCAGTGGGTTGTAATGCTATCCCATTAAAATTTAGAAAGGAAAAAAATGCAAAATACTTTTTATCATGAAATAGCTTGATCTACTGATACAAATATGGTTGGAAAACAGCTTCAAGTTTTGTTTTCCCTGCTTTGGAATATAAACTCCTCCATCTTCCCTCTTCCACATCATGGGCAAGTATAATAACCACTGCTCTACAAAGTCAGGTTGGTTTGGTTTTTTTTTCTCCCAGCCTCTCTTGTTGATGCTATTCCGCTTCACATAAATAATTAAATATTACTGTTAAATAATAAATATTAAATAAATGGGCCAGAGAGAGAGCAGGAGAAATCCTAGCACTAAGATCTTTCTCATAACATTTTCACATATTTTGTTGGGATTTTTTGGGCGGAACACTTCATTTTTTTGTCTGTATTTCCAAAAAAAATATAATTATGAAAAAAATGGATTTAATTCTTTTTTCCTACCATTTGTATCATAAGTTGACCAAGCTGAACATGAGTGCATATGGATGTAAGCAGTGTTTATGTTTCAAATCTCAGGCAACAAATGCCAGAAAGTGTCCAAATTAATTATAGTAGAGAGAAGAATTGTAGAGGTAGGCTTATTCCAAGTTATGGTCTGCCTTTTTAACTAGTGCTACATTTTACTGGGAGAGTTTTCTCTTCTGTGTGCTATAAACATGTATTCATGCAGCTGTCTAAACAGAAGGTGTACTGAAATAAAAAAAAAAACACAAAGTGATGTTAAACTGCTGGAGCAGCTGTTGAAGTGGAAAACGTTTGCAAGTCCTTGCTCACCTTGCAACCCTGAGAATTCTTCTGCTTTGAGAATATTTTTTCTCCTTCTCCTTAAAAAGCCCAACAAACTAATAAATATGTTCACCAACATTGTCTGAGTAGGCAAATACCCAGCATGAGACATGAGACCAGATTTTGAGCAGCTTGTAGAAGGACTTGGAAACTACAAAAATTGAGATATTAAGTGCTTGATGTTCAGAAAAGAAAACAACAAAACAAAACAGATGTAGCTTCATTTTCAGAGATTCATTTCTTCCAGAAGTGTAAGCCACAGACTTCCATATTGGTTTTCTGCACTTATAATGAACCATTTTTAATCATGCAAATTTCAGGATACTGGGAAGAGAAAATTTGAACTAATTATTTCAAAATAAGTTATTAGACATATATTTAACAATGTAAAAACCTAACTACTGCATGAAAATTTGTGTTCATTTTGCTCAAAATGCATTTCATGACTCTAACCAATTTCACTACTCTAGCTTGGCTTTAGTCTTTGGACATCTTTCCTGTGACTTAAAATTTGACATGTGTGCTGTTCATTATAAACTGAAAAATGTGGTTTTGGCATTTATTTGGCCTTCAGACCCTTGTCTATAGAACCTGAAAGCAAATATTCAAATAGACATGGGCTGATGTGGTGGCTGATTTGGTTGCACAAGACAGGGGTGCTGTGAAACAATGTTTGAAGTTATTCAAGCTCACATTAGGTATTACTAAAATGCAGTGAGCTGTTCTGAAGATGTACCTGCCATTTTGGGCTGATGACTTGCAGAGGCTGGTTTTGAACTAGAGCGGGCCTGTGTCTGCCCTGTAACCAGGAAATGGGGCTGTTCTGGTTTTGCTGCGATCCATTACCAAAGCTTGTACAGTAGGTTTGGATTCTGTCCCTCTTCTTCAGAATGAAAGGCTTTAAGATAGGAAGTTTTGTTTTCCATATATCCCTCTGTAAAAATATGTATCAGAATTAAAACAACAAACTTGCTCCTCAACACAAAGGTTATCACAGCATGTATTAATGGCTAAAATAAATACATTTTCACAACAAGACGAATTATGCAGCAATATTCAGTATACCTGGAAAGGTCAGCACAGAACTCATCTGGGAGCAGAACCAATAAATTATTTGTGTGATAAAAGCAATGTGTTGCCTAGAACAAAATGCACTGTGTTTTTTAACTCTGACAATTTATTTTCCTTATGAATAAAATATTATCCATGGTAAAACAATGTAGTGTTCAGTGAACAGAAATAATCTACAATTTTTAGCATGCACTTTAACAATGGTGTGAGTAACAGTGAAACAAGTTCAGCAGTAGATGGAGACTAAGAGCTGGCTCTACAGGTAGGGAGGAAGAACTGTGGTTTTAATGTTTCTAAAAATACAATGATACGATCAGCTCTTGTTGCAAGATGTGCAGCCAGCTGGAGTGAAAATTCATAATGACAAGTAGATTTGTATAGT